CGCACCCACAGGTGGAAACACGAAGTTATCGGTCTCCTCGCAGGAGCCTCTAGGATCCCAAGGTGTAGCCTTAAGTGACTCCAGCAAAGCCTTGTGGATCTGCGCTGAAGGAGGGTGTCTCCGAAGTGAGCGAGTCTTGAAAACATCGTGAGGTGTAGCCACAAAGTGCGGGTACGGCTCAGGATCAATCTGAAGTATACTTACGAGGAAGAACTTGCTGTCATGAACAGGGAGATGCGGAGCATGTTGTACTTTGATGTTTTCGAAGAATTCAGGCTGTCGGAAGCTGTCGGATCTCACGCCCGAGCAGCTTGAGACTGTGATCTCAACGCGATGGGCGAGAAAGAGAAAATCCGATGGAACTTGTCGTTCCGCATTGTTTTCCGTGCGTATGGTCAGGTTGTTGACGATCCTGAACGCGTCCCGCCCAGTTTGTTCACGTTGAAGACTTTGCTCACATTGGCCATTGCGCGTGGTTGGCATGTGAGTTTAGCAGACATTTCCACAGCCTTTCTTCATGCGCTTGTGGAAGGAGATTGTTGGGTACTTCCGCCAGTGGAGTGCTATCCGGAATGAGGCGTGGTTTGGAAATTGAGACGTGCTTTGTACGGTCGAAAGAGTGCGCACAAACTTTGGCAGCAACACCTTGCCGCTACACTTGAGTTGCAAGGGTTTAGGCGCATGAACAATGACCCCAATTTGTACGACAACGCTTGCATGAAATGTACATCCTTTGCTACGTTGATGACTTGACGCTACTTGGTGACAAGGAATCCGTTGCGGACGTGGTTGCGTCACTTCAGAAGGAACTTCTGCTCTGGTGACAGTTTGTCACCCAAGTTGCCCAGGATGGTGCTTCAATTGCTTATCCATCGATGGGATTCGATGATGGGGAAGCCCTGGCTGTTCTCGGCTCCGTATGCACCAGCATGGCCATCGGTCGTTGCCACATCAGGATCTTTTGTACACATAGTAGCCGCCAAAGTCGGGAATTCACAGGGTTTTCACCGTGGAACAGTCTGCCATAACTTGCCTGCTCTTTGCATGCCCAGGCGCTGACCTCGACTGCTGGTAGCTCAGCTTCTCGTAGCTCGGCGAGTTCTTGTAGGCCATGGCCATAGTTCATGTTCTTATTGAACAGGTTCCACAGAGCACATGGCCAGCTCACCAAGACACAATAAAGAGGCTTGAAATTCTGAATGGCGGACTTCAGGGCGTTCACGTCGTCCGCCCTGGAGAGGTCGAAGTCGAAGGCCTTATCAATGGGTTGCAAAGCAGCAAGTCCATACAAGTGCGCGTTCGCTGTCACCCGGGCAGTTCTTGCAAAGATCTCCAGCAGGTCGATTTATTAATGCGCGATGGACAGGCATGCCCTCATATGCTTCAAGCTCCTTGTCGTACACCTTCTGCACACTGCGAAGGCTGCCGGCAAGCCAAGTTTGGGTTCCATGCTGCAGTGGTTGTTCACCAGGGACCAGTCGAAGTCGCTCTCCTCGTCTCCGTGCGTGGAACCACTGGGCTTTGTGGGAGCCAATGAAGTACGCTTCGCCCTTGCGCCCTCAATTGGTCTTGCTCTTTGATGCTATAGCACTGTGGTCGTCGTCGCCGATATAGTCGGACGAGGAGCTCCGCCCAGGCCAGTCGCGCCGAAGAAATTTCTGATGGCCGTGGTATCGGCGGCCGCTGCGACGCTGCTCGACCCAGGCTTCCTGATCATTGAGGCTCCATTTTGTTCCGTATTGCACGCATCGACAGAACCTCCCGTATCCGTGCCTGATTATTTGTTCCGGAGGATGGGTGCATGGCTTGCGACGAGGTTCTCGCACTAGAGGATGTAGAAATCGATGAGGACCCTGCTTTTTGGTGCACCTTTGCCTCCCTTGTTCCTTGTCATAGGGCATGCTGTGCCCAATGCCACCACACTTCCTGCATGCTGTCCTGGCCTTGAGGTTCTGGAGTCGCATTCCCCGAGTCGTGGTCGCCCTCTCCGCGTTGTAGTGCTCGCTGTTGGTCCCGATGTCGCTGCCGTCGTCCGGGTAGTAGTGGTCTTGGGCGTTGTCGTCATCCTCGGCCATGAAGGTGTAGGTCGTGTTCTTGCCCTTCGCCCTGCCGCCTTGCTACTTGCCTCCAAAGTGTGCTCGACCATCTCCTGGCCCGCGACAGGTGAAGGTGTGGCTTGCCTTCTCGTGAATTCAAGGGTGCTGCGTGACAAGTTCGTCGGCATTGTTGTCGAAAGTTGTCTTTCCTTGAGCCGCTGTCCGGATCACAGAACTTCATCGCAACAGATGAAGACAACGGTCCTTCTGGGTGAAGTACCGAAGGGAAATTTGGCATTCCACGCTTTGCTGGTGACCCGTCGAGGCTCAATGAACGGAGCTTCAGGATTCAGACAAAGATCAAAATGCCGCAAGAAGTTGGGACCCCTGGGCCTTCGACTCCTTGAAAGGCTCACTGGTCCAGCACTTCACATCGCACAAGGCCTTGACCTCAGCAAGTTGGAGACGGAGGACGGCGCCAACTGTTTTGAGGTATTGACCACCCAGCTCCAACCACGGCGAGACCAACAGGCCAAGGTCTACGAAGCCGTTGGACCTTAAGCTGCCAGAACTGGTGCAAAATGCGATGACTCTTTCCTCGCTGTTGAGTCAGCCTGAGCCACCTGCCATGCCGGTAGAAAGGTGTGTGCAAACTGTCTGACCACAGGGACATGTCAACAGGCTGCAAGCAGGGGTAACCAGGATTTTCACAAGCTTTTGGGGTAACCAGGCCCTCCTCTTACCAACGAACCTTTCAATTGGCGTTGAAGCGCAATTAGTTAGTTGCAATGAAGCCTGCACTTAATGCTTTTCAGTTCTTCGCAGACTTGCTAACAGCAAACAGCTGATGCAAAGCAATTTTGCTATGCGCACCATATGACCCAAGGCCTGCGGAGGAGTCACGTTCTGTCTGCGCAGCACTCAAGTCTCCTAAGACTCTAGGATCACTACATCAGCCCCCCAAAATTTAGCAGGCAGAACTCTTTAACCTACGATCCGATTGCTTCTCTCTACGAAGGATATGCTCTTCCTGCTCAATTTGGAGGTGATTTGATCTCAGGAGTTTCATAAGAGGCTGCATGTGAGCCCCTTGAAGCTTAGTCAACGCGTCGGCAGGGTTCACATTGTGCGGGACCCACCTAATGCGCCCACTCAGTTTCTGAAGAGACTCCTGAATTATAGCAATCTCTAAAGCCGATCGGTCATCTTCGCCGCTGGCCTGCTCGGAGTGAAGGGCATCGAAGAGGGATTTAGCATCGGCAACCGCGATCACGGAGGGATCGGAGTAGCGCAGGTCTTCAGCCGCGATCACCGAAGGGGAGGAGTTCAAGACGCGCTCCAACTCATCCGCATCCTCGAAGTCCTTTGCCCGAAAGTTGGACTGAGTTAAGCTTCTCCAAGTCGCGACTTGCTTTTCCAAAGCCCCCATAGCCGTTGACAAAGAAATGCTTTCGCAGAGGAGAGTATTGCCAGCCTTGCGTTTCAAGCGTTTCGACTTCCATGCGATGAGGGAGATAGGGGCTGTCTCTCCCGCATTCAGCTTCGGAGTCGTTATCGCCTGGAGCCAGCCGTGTTGCGGCTTGGTCCGCCCAGACGGATCAAAGGAGGAGTCGCTGATGACGACGTGCCTGACCTCCTTCTCATTCCGGGCGTGGACGATGAGTTTTACCTGAGTTCCTTTCAGATGGTCCACGACAGCATTCACGGCCCAAGCATCCGACACCTTGGGATCAGGGAAACACCCTGACAGTATTGAGGCCGCAGATGCGGCATCTGGTCTCCCCTCGCGCGCCGTCCAGTTTATTGCGGCAACCGCGCCCCGCAACTGCGTTGCTCGTCGCTATTCAACACCGTCTGGGCCGCCGCCTTCTTGGTGATCCGACGGTCCAGGTTCATCTCGCGGAGGCGGTTGGCAACATAGTCGTCCATGCTGTAGGAGAAGCTGTAGTCCGCTCGCTGCCGAAGGCGTCGTCCAGCATATTCAGAGCCATCTGTGGCCTCCATTAAGTTGGTCACCTTGCCGAACTTGAACTTCTTCTCCAACTGCAGCATCTTGGCTCTATGCCTCGCTGACCCAGCCTCCAGGAGGTCGTCGATCTCCACCACGATGATGCCCTGCGTCTGGTTGGGATCCTCGTCCTGATTGGTGGGGTCCGCGTCGAGGGTCAACACAAACTTGTCGAAGGCGCTCAGACAATACCCAAGCTCCTTGATCAGCACCTCCAAAAGGGATTTCCGCCACCAGCTCGGGCCGGAAACCAATCCGTAGATCTCCGTAAGCAACAGGATCAATTGCCAAGGGTCGTATCCGGGGAAGTGCTCGCAGCTCGGCATCCTCACAGCCAGTTTCTGACGCCTCGTTGTTGGTTTCCCCTGTAGAAAGGCTGTTTTGACATCACGGACATGGCCGCTCCAGTGGCGACACGCCGCGACCTGCATGGTCAGGTAGATGGAGGTTGTCAAGGGCGTCGGTGACGAGCGTTCTATGGAATGCACTTCTGGATCACGCCATCCCACCACCGTCCAGCGGGACTTCGCCGAGACCTTGTCGCTGTTCGCATTTTGCACGGCGTACTCCATGAAGCCTTCAGGAAGAGCACTTCCATCCGAGAAAGGCCAAGCTCTCCTCCACCGATAAGATCCTGATGGCTCCAGAGTCCAGCAAGGACTGAATCTCCTTGTCTCGGGATTTCCGGAACACTCGCTTGAGGGGCTCGGACAGCTTCATGAAGCTCACGTGACTCGGGATCCTTCTTCCTTGTCAAATACATGCATCGGTCTCTCGCATGGTAGTAGGCCATGGACTCCTGACAGGTGAAGGTCTCCTTGGTGCTGGGCAGTGGTACCCAACGATCTCGAGCACGATCTCGCCACCACTTCGTTGTCTCGTTCAGGTCATGCTCAAAGGAGGCCATCTCCAAGTAGGTGCTCGGTTGGCTTGGACGAGGCCAAGAAGGTACACCCTCACTCAGTCATAGGGTAGGGCATAGGAGGTGCTGTCCGAGCTTCTCGAATGGGGCCAAAAGGAAACTCACCCGCTGTCGCTTCGTCCACTCGGACGCTTGACCGTCTCGATGCTGAAGCTGTTCCGGGTTCGTCCGAGGCAACCCGGACGGCTGAAGCTTCTGAAGGAGGCCTTGTACTCTCCAACTCTGGAGCGCGTGGATCTTCTCCATTTTCCAAAAGGCGAGGAGGATTCATCTCGGCATCCGGGGCTGGCTCATCAGGATCACCGAGCCCGAGCTCACGGAAGATATCCTGGTCATTGTCATCTGCCGGGAACGAAGGCTCGTAGAGGGTCATCTCCTCATCCATCTCCAGTTCACCAGGAGGTTCTTCATGTTGGATGTCCCGGTAGTGCCGCACCTTGCCAGACTCCAGGTCCTCCAGCAACTCGCGGGTGAGGACTTTCCGGAGTTCCGCGCCAAAGCTCCAGCCGGGTTTGCTCTCAGGACGCCTTGAGTAGATAGCCTCGCAGACTGATCCACAAGGACCTGCCATTGTCTGTAACTTGAACCACCACTCCTGGTCCAGCCCAGCCTTTGAAGCCCTCCACACGTACACACGGTCCCCATTCTTAATCTGGATCTTGTCCACAGTGCGGGTGTTCGCTCTCGCAGCCCGGGTGACCGCCTCAAAGTCCTGGTGTTCCATCCAAGCTTTGGCAGCAGCCTTGCGGATCTCCATGGCGCGGTGCATGTTGTCGGAGATGGTGTCCAGCACGAACTCGCGATCGATGTGGTCGTCCGACAACAAGCTGCCAGGCAACCTCAGTGATGAGCTGAAGACCCGCTGATGAGGACTAAACCCGGACCTGTTAGTATCGGTTATGTTGCATGATGGACTCAGCCACGGCAGTCAGCAAGTCCTTCTCCGACACAGCGGTGGTTTCCTGGCAGACTTTCTCCAAGCACGATTTGAAAATCCCGCCCGCCTTCTCTGTTCTGGAGTTCTGCCATGGGGAGTGGGTGTCCGTGAAATGGAGGACGACGGCGTTGTCCGCCATCAGCTGACAAAACTCTTGGCCCACAAACTCTGGTCCTTGGTCACAGATCACCAGTGCCGGAGGTCCATAGTGAGCCATCCAGGACCTAGCCATGGCCATAGCCACAGTCTCCGAGGTGCGGTCCTCGATCATCTCCACCAATTGGAAGTTGGTCCCCCAGCACAGCATGTTGAGGAAAATTCTTCGGCCCAAGAAAAACAAGTCCACACCCACGCACTCATTGAACGGCATAGTCCGGGACATGACGTGCGCCGGTCTGTGGGAAGCCGGTCAAAGGTAGACGAGTCTGGGTGGCCCAAGTTCCTATGCACCCTGTAGATCTCCCTCCGTATTTCTGGTGGAGGTATAGGGGCCTTCGTTTCAGACTCATCCCCATTGTCCACGTCGCCGGGCATGGGGATCTCTCGAAGTTCATGCCGGACTCGTGCCTCATCTCCTTCGTGTGGTTGTTGAGGTGGTTGGGGTTCATCCACCATCGCAGGTCCGTCTGGGGAGGCGAAACTGGTGTCTCCCAGGTGCGTTGAAGTAGAAGTAGAAGAATTGGGAAGGCCCGTGGCTTCCGAAAATGGATCATCTTCGTGATCCGCAAAAGACACTGCACGCGCGTCAGCTCGACGTTCACGTGCCTCATCTCCCAAAATCCTGTGCGATGGAAAAACTTGTGCGCAAATCATCATCCATTTGGCTTGAAAGGCAGCCTCATCATCCTGGTAGGTGTAGAAGTCGTGCGCGGCACCTTGCGCCAGCCAGGCGGCAAGCTCTTGTAGTTCCTGAGGAAGACGAAAATCTGCTTGCAGCTCAAAACATGTGATGCCGGACCAGGAGGCCTTCGTTGGAGGCGTAGAGGGACAGGACTGCCAATTGTCTGTCCACAGCTGGGGTTCACCATCTTGGTACCACAGCGAGGTCCGGCGCTGTCCAGTGAAGCGCAGTTTTGCGACTTCATATTCCATGCACTCCTCCGGAGATGCCAACGTACTGCGTTTGCAGAAATGCCGGCAACGTAACTCATGAGGGGTGAGCTCCCACGAATCCTTCATATCGAAGACGGGGAAGTGCTGCGCACGGAGGTGTTGTCGTAGACCTTTGAGGATGGCGTCCACAAAGGCATCCGTGTAGATGGCCGACAGCTTAGTGTTTTGTCCCCCTTCAAGAGGTACATGCTTATGCTGCTTGTCGCATCTTCTGGCCAAAGCGGTGGCCAAGGTCTCGATGTTGGTCAGGAGGAGGGTCGGCTTCAACACGGTGTCGCCCTTCGAGTTTTGAAGTTCAAACTGACACATGTCCAAAGAGACCGTGTACACCTGAGGATGGGCTTTTAGCTTCTGCAATGATCTCATCTTCCAGCTCTTGGCTCCTCTAGGGTGCTCAAACAGGAAGCCCCGGCCCGCATTGATCTGAATGAGGGCCACAGACACACTGAAGTCCACGTGTCGTTCGCCTTCACGTAGTTCTTGATCCACCACGTCTGGATCTCTCTTGAAATCCGTCAGCCTTCGCGTGGGGCTGAAGGGCGTGCATGGTGGAGAGAGCAACACCAAAGCGGGCCGATGTTCGCGAACCAAACGCCTTGGCGATGTCTTGGAATGTTGAAGTTCCATCCAGTGGTGAGGTCCAAGGCGAAGCCTGGGCGCAGACCATGAAGATGAGCTCGCTTGGTCACCCTTGGTGGCGAATACACTTCTGCCACATCGACACCGGCCTTCTGCAACTGCTTGGTGAACTGATTGATCTGAGGCTTGCTCAAGGACATCCAGGCCGAGGAGGAGGAAGATGAATCCAGGTCATCCAGAAGCCAATTGAATGCTTGGTTCCGATTGGCAAACACCTGGCATCCAACGATGGCCGCTTCTGAACATGTTCCCGAAGGAGGAGACCAAGTTCCCGTAGATGGCTGCCATACCAGTCTCACTTTTGGGGGTCCCAAAAAGGAGGGATAGCATTCTGTCCATCCCGAAGTCACCCATGTGATTAGCACCAGCAGCGTTCGCAGCGCCCAGCCCTGCTTCTTCAAGTGGGCGGACAGCTTGTGAAGAGGTTGATGAGGACTCCGGTCCAACGACTCGGCCTCCACCAACGCCCTTGATTTCACTGCTTTCGCTCGGCCTTTGCAGTGGGCTTCTCTGTCATGGTGACGTCCGACCACGCCTCGTTGTCGGTGTTGATCTTGTAGGTCTCGACCGCCGCTGCTCTCGTTGGCGTCTTTGACCTCTGCATGGCCCTCAGCCCGGTTGGAGTCCTTCTCGTCTTTGAGGTCGGCCGCGTGGTGGTCGTTGTCGGGGTCGCCGGGTTTCCGGAAGTCCGTGCCGAAGAAGAGGTCGCTCAGTGTCGGGTTCCAGAGCTTGAGGCCGCCCCTGATGGTTCAACTCCACCATCTTGTCTCCTTGTTGGGGACGTCCTCGGGGCGCGGAAGGAATTTCGGATATGCCTTGCCTCGGGCCCCCACCAACTTGGCTGCCTCCTCGTCGGTCTCCGGAATCGGCTTGGTGGTCTTGTCCAGTGCCCGGCCCAAGTCTTCAGGGAAGTCTGGAAAAGGGTCCGGATCGAGAGCCAAAAAGGGGTCAGGCTTTCGAACCTCTGGAAAGGGCAAGCTGCTCAGAGGTTCGGCGGAGGAGCTGCAAAGCAGGACCAGATGCTACAATTGCCATGAGTTGGGGCACTATGCGAGAGACTGTCCCCTAAAAGGACAAGGGAAGGGCCATGGCTCGGACAAGAAGGTGGTCAACTTCGTGGTTTCTCGCGGCAATGGTGGAACCAACTTGATGACTCACCAGATCTGGCCCTGGTTCCAAGCTCCTCCTCTTCGATGTCAGCCTAACATCGCCATCTTTGCCGGCATCAAGGTAAAAGGGTGCGAGGCCTTAGTGGATACGGCAGCTCAGGACGCCGTCATTGGTGAAGGAGCCTTCTTCAGCAAGAACTGGCTCGCCATGGTTTGCAAACGGCCGCTGCCGATATCCCCCTTTCTCAACTTCCATGCGCCGGCATTGGAGGACAAGCTTCTTTGAAGGCACTTGTGGATGTGCCAATAGCTGTTGCTGGCATTCAAGGTGTGCTTCGCTTCAACGTTCTGGAGGACAACTTCATGGCCACGCCTCCTCTGCTGCCCATAAGCTTCCTGGAGACCATTGGAGCCAACATCGACCTCGTCAAAGATGAGATGTCGACCCCGCAAGGCGGCAAGGCACCGATGACCAGACTTCCGTCGGGCCATCGGACAGTGGACATCATGCAGTTTGACAACTGGAAGTTGCCGGAGCATTTTCGCCACCGAGGCCACGATCCCTTTCAGCTGCAACCTCCAACGACAATTTTGGGGGGAAAAGATGCTACAGAGGCAGAATCTACGACTTGGACGTGTGCAGCTGTGGCCCCGGATGCGCCCTCGGCGTCTACGACCCGAACAACCTCAATGACTTCGGCGATGGATGCGACATCGGCGTCTATGACCAGAACCACCTCAATGACTTCGGCGATGGCCGCGACACCGGTGTCTATGACAACCACCGCGACGCCTTCGGCCCGAACGACCTCATTGCCTTCAAGCAGCAGACGTCTCTCAACGGTCATCGAGGACGAAGAGGAGATGTCAGGCATTTATGTGACCATCAAGAACGGCTCAGAGATTGAGACCATGGCCAAGGAATATCGCTTGGCAGGAAGATGGTCTATGATGGACATGGAGAAGTTCCTGAAGTGTCTGGAGGTAAGAGCCAGAGGACGTGATCGGAACTTGATGAGGTTGAAGCCCAACCAGGTGGAGAACAGCTTCTCCATGATTCTGGGGAGATATGTCTACGGCGGCTTCGATGGCATCACGAACAACTCCACTCGGTATCCCGAGACCTGTGCCTACCTGAACGCTTGGATGAAGCAGCGCTGCCCTGGCCTGAAGTTCACGTCTCTGTGCGTCAACTATGACCTTCGTGCCCCTATGCATCGAGATGTAAATAATGCAGGTCATTTTCCAAGCGTCACAGTCTCCTTTGGCCAGTACAGCGGAGGCCAATTGTGGGTACAGAAAGGGGGAGTAGATGGATCCTCACCGGAGCCGAGAGCAGCTTGGAGAAAAAGTCCGTTGGGAGGTAAGCTGGCCGGAAACTTGTTCGAGACGTATCACAACCCAACTTGGTTTCGCCCCAAATGTTGGCATCGAGTTGAGAAATATCAAGGGCAGCGGATCAGCTTGACTGCGTACATGATCAGAGGAGTTGATGGAGCATCCGCAGAACACAAGCAGTCTGTTACGAGCATGGGGTTTCCTTTGCCGTCGTGTGATGCATCAGTGCCTGAATGTCAACATGTTTTGCTGGAAGAGGAGTCCATTTCAGGAACATCACATGCCAATGCGTCTCAATGTGAGTTTGACATGGAAAGCGTGTTTGAAAGAGGGCGAGCACACCAAGAAAGAACTTCTTCTATGGCAACGTTCAGGCTCGAGCGAATGATGCAACGAGTTGCTCAATTCTTTCTCAATTCGAATCGCCGTCCTTCCCGTGTCCCTCGTGACCATGTCTTCGCTTCGTCAGCGTGCCGAGAGGATGGTGGCAGCCGACCTGAAGGAGACTCACGAGCACCTCCCGATCAAGAAGATGGGAACGGCGAAGACGGAGGCGGCCTGGAGGCGACTCACCAGCCGCATCCTGGTGATGCTGCAGACTACGAGGCAGCAGTTGATGGTGGAGCAGATGATGCAGAACGACGACCTCCCCGAAGAGAAGCCGACATCGTCTACGACCACCAGGCCATCGAGTCGCAAGAGCCCTCACGAGAACATCAATCAGACCATCAGCGACCCGCTGATCCGTTCAAGGCCTCACAAAACCTTCTTCAAGGAGCCCGAGGATTGCAACCACCCGGCGGACAAGTTGAGGTGCAGAGCCAATGCGAAGAAGCAGTGGTGGACGTGTGTTCAATGCGGGTGTCGTTGGGACCGGAACGATCGTGTGCTCTTGTTGTGCTTCACGAAGCCTCGTTCACGACGGCGGTCCCGAAGGTCTTTCCTGACGTCCGCGTAGGCCGAGGCATAGGCGGCGACGTAGATGGCCTCGTCCTCCTCATACTCTCGGTCTTCAAAGTACAAGGCATCATCTTCGGATTCTGACTCTTCCGCGTGCTCAGGATCAGAATCTTCCTCTTGTGAGGGTTGTTGTTCCTCTGCTTGAGGGCCTTGATCTTCCGAGTACATCACAGGATAGTGCTTGGAAGCCTGACCTCCCAACTCTGCGTGAGCTGCCTGGGCCAGCATCTCAGGCCGGTCCAAAGGTCTCAACATGGCCGCCACCTCGTCGAAGGTCATCAAGGCCGCCTGATCCTTCAAGGAAATCATCTCCCGCTGGAAGTCAGACAAGTTCGATTGACGCAGCAGTATTCTACCAGCGATCTTGTCATTCAGCTTCTCATTCAGATTATTCTCCAAGTCCTGTTTCGCCACCTCCTTGGCGGCGATGAACGTAGCGAAGGTCTCGCCCTTGGCTCGATCTCCTTGGAAGAAGAACCTGTCCACGGAAGCCGGAGCAGCTATCTCCAGGAAGGGACGATATTTCCTCATCAAAGCCGTCAAGATGAGATCATATCCCGCTGCTGACAACAGATCGCCCATCTGAATCTGATCCGCAATCTTCCTTGGCTGAGACGCTTCTGGAAAGGACTGGTACAGCTTCAGTCCCCATCGTTCCCTTGGCAACGTCGTCTCAGCTTCCCAGCAAGCCAACATTTTCAGCCAGCTCCTCAACGTGTTGGGCATGCCGTTCCATGAAGGAATAGTCTTCCTCTCCCCCATCATTGCTGCAATGAATCGTTCTCCTTGATCCTGATGGGGACGGGTCGACTGCGGAGGCTGCAACCCAAGAACATCAAAGGCTGAGGTGATCTTCTTTTCGGGCTGCTGAGACCCGAGCTGAGGTCCCAACAGGCTGTTGGCTGCAGCTGCTGCCGCAGTGAAAGGAAACTCCTGCGCTAAGCGATTGGGCTCATTGTTCATTCTTGTAGTAGACGGAGAGGTAAAGGTAGGCGACACGAAGGTTGTAGAGGGGCTCCAGGTTGTAGGACCACCTTGTTGAGGTAATTGAGGTTGTACAGGAGGTTGAAACATCAGAGGTTGAGTCCCAGGTACCATTGGCGAAGTCCAGGACGGGCCAAAACCATTTGGAAGGGCCTGACCAGGTGATGTCGCCAACATTGGATTCCAGGGACTCCGACCAATGTCCTGGGCTTGAAAAGGCCAGCTTGGGTAGCCTTGTTGAGCGAAGGACGCAGCAACGTTTGACGGTGCCATGTCATTCCTGAAAGAAGAAGCCGAAGGATCTTTCTGAGAAGCTTCAACCCGTTGTCCTTGTCCAGACATCCCAGATGCCGCGGAACCACCCTCAGGTACAAGTCGCGAATTTCCTCCGGGAAGCCCCGCTTCACCGCCTCCGCGTAGACCGCGGTTCCTCGATCTCTGGGCCAGGTAGTCCACCCAGGGATCGGCCATAGCCAGGAATCTAACCCGGCTCCGGTGCCAACTAACAGCAAACAGCTGATGCAAAGCACTTTTGCTATGCGCACCATATGACCCAAGGCCTGCGGAGGAGTCACGTTCTGTCTGCACAGCACTCAAGTCTCCTAAGACTCTAGGATCACTACATCATTGCATCCACTTTCTTCAAGTTGCAAAGGTGACAACTCTTCTGATCACTTGAGCGTGAGGACCTGTCTGGAATTTACTGGTTGTTTTCTTTACTTTTCTGTTTTGGTTCGGGCTTTCCAAACTTGTGTTCAAGGGGGTGTTGAAAATGCATTTCCAAGTGATTACTTGTATCAGCTAGGACGTGCCAACTTATGTTTGGCGCAAGACTTGTTGCGCTTGGATGCCAAGAGGACTTGTGTGCTGAGACTTAGGACATTCAGGCGTGCCTTTGTGTGTTGAGCATTGGAAGACCCTCAGGTACATTTTCATGTTGTTGTTTTACTTATTCTGAAATGGGCTGTGTCCTCCTCCTCACTCTTCGCACTTCTTCTCCCTTTCTCGAAATGGCCAGCGGCTCCCCCTCTGACTCTGAGTTGTTAGCAGCTGAGCCTTTGCGTTCTTAGTCTGCTAAGGGTCCAGATTGCAGGATTTCTTGTGCTACCAAATGATGGAAGAAGCAAACCATGAGTCTAGGAAATTCTACGATTAGGAATAACTAGGCTTCCCAAAGATATCTTCACGCACTGTATGAAATTACCAGCAGGAGTTACCTACTGCTAGTGCTAGAGATAAAAAGAGCCAAGCTAACAAATAACAGATTTCCCCTTCCCCGTTCCTTTACTTTTTGCTTTTTTTGTCCACATCGTTCGTGTCATGCATAGAACAAACCTGTAAGCTGCTTTGAAGTATAGGTGTCTTGAAGTTAAAGTTACAATTAGAAGGCATAGATTTGGAGAACTTCTGAGCACCGCTGGGCTCGGTGCCAGCTCCGTGCAGCGCAGTTGCGCCGCGCGCCGGGCGTAGCCGGAGCTCCCCACGGCCAAGCCCAGGACCTTTCAGGAAGAAGTCTCCCTCTCTCTCTTTTTGTGTTTAGTGGCCCGGGACAATGGATGAGAGAAGCGAGAGAAGAGGAGAGAAGGGACCGAGTGGCTGGGATGGGTGTTAGGAGCATGGTACCAGAAATGTGAAAACAGCCGAGGCGCTACGTTGGAGATCGGCTGAGCTGCGTAGAAGGGCCGCAGCCTTCGTCGAAACTTGAAAGGTAAACTTGAAGCAAGGACATGCAGAAGAAAAAGGGAGAAAGGACGACATGACGACATCACATTTTGCCCCTTTCATCTTCTCAGCTTCTGGCGCGCTGCGATGGAAGCCCGGCTTCTGCCGAATGGCAAAGGCCTCCGATGGCGTGGAGGTGACTCGACTCGTGACCTTCGCCGAAGCAAAGAGGTCAGATAGGCTGCGAGAAATTCTGTGAGTTGCCTGGGGCCGGGAATCCCGGGAGTCCTCCGGGTCTGAGGAGGAGCCGCGCTTTCTTTCCTCTACGTGTCCGCATCACGTTCACAAACGCTTTGGCAACATGAGGTCCTTGAAAGGCTTGGCACCTAGAACAGGGCTCGTCACATCCTGAGCAGGAGCCATTTGGGAGAGGCTTTGTGAGGGCTTCCAGGATGGTTCCAGGATTCCAGGCAGGGACGTCCGCCCACTTGGCGGCCACCGGTTGTGGACCCTCGCGAAGACACACCCTTGCGCTCCCTTTCTTCCCTTCTCCTTTGCTCTTTCCTTCTTTCGATTGCCTTCCAGTTTGCGGGCGTCATTACCCGCTGGAAGTCCAGAAAGTTCATCGAATCCTGGGTGGCATGTGGCATGTGCCACTTCCCAGCATGGTCTGAAAGAAAAGATCTCAAAATTCGTGTCATTCAAGTGTCCTTCCCGCAGCTCTGGCGGATCATCAAGGCGCAGTCGTCCTCAGACCTAGGCCAGACCAGCTTCTCCCTGCTCCCAGCCGCTAAGAAACCCCCTTAGACTCGACCTCGCTGGGAAGAGCGTGTGCAGGTGCTCTCCGCGGATGATACCGGCGCCGCTGCTATCGAAGAAGTGGAACACGGCCTCTGTAGCACGAGGAGTCACACAGTCACAGACACTGCGTGTCTCTGTGTGAGAGGGAGGTCGCCTTCAGGGAGGACTGGCTGCAATAGACCTCTGGAAGACTGGCCATCATGGCTGCCATGAACTCCACGAAGTTCAAGGCACCGGAGCCTTTCTGCTAACACAGGATGCAACCAACAGGTTACGGCGGTTACGGTTTTGGCAGGCTGAATAAGTTCCATTTCTCGATTCTAGCCTGACAGGTCAGCGCTTCGGAAGAGCGCTGGGAAATCCTTCAAACGGCAATTCAAGGACAAAGAAGGCAAAAGCAGGAACATCTCCAAGCTGAATGGCTCCTGCGGGACCTCCTCACCAGCCTCCCGCAGCGCCTAGATCTTTGCAACGTTTGAGCACGGCGTAGGAAAACGATTAGTTGGGGAGATCTGTTGGAGGGGATTCCTCCTTTGCCAAATGTCGTCTCCACACGTCTTCACTGCTGTGCTCCCGGAGGCCTGCTCGAACAAGGACTCCTTGCAGCAGATTCTGCACGGTGTCATTGTGGCTCCTTCGCGGTGTGACGGGGAAGAGGTGGCCTCCACGAGCCAGCCGTCCCGCGCCAGGAATCGAAAGAGCCATCGCAGACCCCCGACCTGGCTGCACCACAGGAGCTCTTCAAAAGCAAAGAAGCAGAAGCAAAAGTGCCAAAGCCAAACGCCCTCGCCTCATCGCCCAGGAGGTGTGCTGCGACCAGCAAGGCCTGATGCACTCTGCACGCGCTGCAATTTCAAGGAACTCCCTCTTTTCCCCTTCCCTGTTCCAGTTCCTTCCGGGCGCCGGGCGAGTCGTTTGATGCGGGGCGCCTTGGCAAAGGCGCAGAGCGCTGGCACGCAGCCGGCCAGGCGTCCTGAGCTTCTACAGATATCCAAAATTACGAGCCAAGAAGTAGATCTGCATGGGTGCTAAAGATTCATTTATTTGCTACCGACATGCTCTGTGTTGTGAACCGAACTTGTGATGAGGGTGGTGAAATGGCTCGAGCAGTCGACAAGTCGAAAAGCTGCTTTTTTCAAGCACCATGGCCCGAACCGCCCAAGAGTCCAACAATCGTGAAAAACACCCAAGTCGGAAAGTCGAGAAGAACAAAACTGGAAAACACTGCAAAGTGGAATAAGCAGAAATATCGAAAGGTCCAGAACTTTGTCAAGGTCCCACACGTGTGAACAGTTACCAGGATTGGAAGAATCTCAGTAATGTGAGTATTCGTACTGGATATGAAAAGTGCCTTCAAACATGTAATTTCTCTGGCGTTGGTGATGATTTGCTTTGTGGGATCACACTTGAATGAGGTTCGCATGCAGTAGACAAGGCCCCAAGCCTTTCTAGCCTCAACTGCAAGTCCCAACGCCGACATCACCCTATGGCCTTCAAAGCAACTTTGCAGGGCTTGAACTTTTCTTGTGACTCCAGACAATTGCTCAGGATGGCAGGAACTGGCTGTGCCTTTCGGCCCTTTGGCCAAATTCCGAAATTCTCGGCTGCAAGCTTACAGCAGGTCTGCGCCATTCCCAAGTTTGACTTCGTGCTTGAACTGTCTCTGTCCCGGTGTGGCGGTGGTTGGTGAATGAGTGGGCCGCTAAAAGTGAAAGTCTGAGGTGCGGTGAAGGGTAGAGTGTACGAAGCATGGACAGGCTGCAAGCATGGCTGCAAAGGAAATCAGACGAGAGCATAAGAAAAAGCAGCCGACTCAACATTTCAAAATTGAATTTACCAACCTCGCTGGCATCCATGGCAGATGCCTGATTGCCACAGGAATCCGCATCCAGTTCATGGACTTTGTGGCATGCATGCCTTACAGAAAGGAGCACCATGCCCCACCCTCTGATTGGGGATGTTACGTTGAAAGTCATGGACCTGGAGCATGGTGCCGCGACACGAAATTCAACAGCTCCTACTCCTGCTGGTAGCGTCTTCCTTGAAAGGAAAGGGGTAAGCTGCAAAAAGTTCTAAACTGCCAACAGGGCGACACATGCAAAGGACGAGAGCCTGACAATACCCGAATGGTGCCCGGATGTGACACACGAAGAGGTGCGCTGAGATGCTGAGATGTTTCTGAGGTTCGGGCTTCGGTTTCGGTTTGAAAAAAAGGCCATGCCTTTACCCATACCGCCACAGCCGACGGAAGGGGCACCGCTTTTCGAAGGGCCACCCGAAGAGGAGGGTTCTACCGCCGCGGAGCCCGGCAAAGCCTGGCCAGAGAGACACAGAGGCAGAGACGTACACTTACACGTAGACTTTCTTACACTTTTACAGACTATTACACATGCACTTTCACACTTCGCCAAATTCGCTGGCCCTTTGGAACACAAGGATTTTAATGTGAAATTCATGTGCTGTTCCTCGGTGAAGCCGTAAGACCTCACCACCAGGGGGTGCTGCAGAGCCTGCCATGAGCTGCGCTGGGCTGGGTGTTGGAGTCACGATCCGCGCCTCCTGGGCTGTGATGCGCCTCGCGGTGGTGGGCTCCAGCATCTTGCTCAGAAGATCCATGGCCTCACGAATCTGCTGAATCTGCCCATCTGCCCCTGACAGCAGGCAGCCTCTTGCTCTTCCCTCCTGGTCTGAGGCGTCCAAAGTGCTCAAGCGCACAGGCACCTAGGTTTTCGATCAACTCCTATCCGCATGTGGAACTCTCCAGTAAAGCGATCCAATAAAACCTGGTGACCTGCTTGGTGTTCTTACCTGAGATGCTGGCATAGCTCGGGTTTGTTGCTTCTGGCCAGCAGCTGCCCTCCTGCAAACCAAAAAAAAATTCTCACAGAGAAACTTCCCTTTTACATGACACACTCGCAGAATCTGCTGGACTCCTCGGGGAGCAGCCGTGCGCCCGCCAGCATCTGGTACAAGATGGCGCCCACCTTTAAATACAAAGCAAGAAGGAACCCCAAAAACAAAAAGAAGCGAACTGAAACAACATCAAATTCGAAAAGCTTGATAGGCTGAGCGGGCTCGGGAGCTTGCACTCCAAATGTCGCGCTTCTGGACCTCACAAGGCAAACATCGATCTTTTACCCTCCTCCTTCCTTCTTCCCACCTTCTGCTCTTTCTCTGACCCTGTCTCTGGCCAGCTGTCTCGATCTGCTCATGTCATGAAAAAACCGAGAGGCATAGAGGCCACGCGGAACGTGTTCGTGCCGAGCCAGCGTCGATTCCTCCGTGTCCGCATCCGAAGCAAGGAAACAACGCAATGACTAGTGACCACGTCTCGGAGACGTGCCTGGACGCTCATCTCGCTAAGTCCGAAATCCACCTCAGAGGAGTTTTAACCTCCCTCTCTCTCTCTAATGACTTTCCCGGGCCCCTGCCATTCTCAACACGGCATCAGCATGGCACGTCTCGAAACGGAAGTTCTCCTGAAAACCCACCGAGTCTGACCGAACCCGCTTCAGCCGGGCCGCGTCCTCGCTCACATCGTTGTGCGCGATGCCTTTCATCATCTTTGCTCTTAGTGGCAAGGTGCGAAAAACAACTCTTGAAACAACTCCGTCCACGCACCGTGGCAGTGGCAACAGAAGAGCGCCTGACAAAAGAATTAATACAATGCAAGCAAGCTGGATTCACAACGAGACTCGCAGAGACTACTGGAGATTCTGTTTTATTGCCTTGAGCATGTGCCGCAGACAGCGGACAGCGAAGGCCTCCGGAAAGCGGCCCTGCTCGCCTGGAAACATCGCCAAACATCACCAAACCCTCTGATTTCGTCTTTTTCATCTTTTTGGGCCACTACGAAGCTTCTCCCCCAGGCTGGGCCCCTGCAGCAGCTCCATGACCAACAGCACCTCCAATGCATCTTGCGAAAGACCCTGAAACCTAACTCTTTTTCCCTCTTGTTGCCTCCGAGTCCGCCACAAAGTACCTGCACCACAGTCTTATGATTCCGAGAGAATGTCAGAGCTGACGAGGCACTCGATGAGCCGGACGATGGCCGGATGGTCTAATGCGATGAGTGCATCAACTTCATTCACCAGTTCTTCGTTGCAACTTCCAGATGGCAGTCGCAGCCGCTTGACCTAGAGCGAAGCTACGGGCTCGGAATGTTGAGAGAATCGGAGTTGGCTACACAAAGAATCCTGCCGCGCGCTTGAGGTCTGCCAGCCTGAAACACAAAACCCTAAACAAATTTCGGCGACTGTGTCAATGACCGTATCCCATAAGCTTCCCATCTATGAATCGCATGCTCTTTTCTCGTATCTTCATGGGCTTGTTTCTGCAAGCTTCTTCGAACTCTCCGAGCTGCCGACTTGTCCACCTGGTACGTGAAGTTGACATGCTTCAAAAAACGAAGATTTTTTGCAGTCAACCCATGGCGGGTGTCACGCACTCGTAAACCCTCCCAAAGGTGCCCTTGCAGTTGCTTGCAGTTGCTTGCAGTTGCTTGGAGTTGCTTGCCGTCGCAAAACGCTGCATTAATTCGTGCAGAATTTACTATCTGCCTGTCCGACTAAGGTTGGAGTCTCACCTTTGCACAGGAACGATGCACGCAGACTGCTGGCATCATGCGGCGCATGCTGAAAGCTGAAATGTGAGGCCAGGGCTGATGCAGTACCGATCCGCGAAGCGGCAGGCATTCGCCTTGAAAACCAGGCAAACGCAGGCAACTGACACGCAAGTGGCATTTGGGCTTTGAGGCGCTGGCCCTGATAAGCGCGGCCCGGCAGACGCTATGTCGCCTGGGCAAACTGGCAGGCGCGCACCTTGCATGCTGCTGTACAAACCGAGCCTGTCCAAGAGTTCGGTGTATTTCTTCACCTGAGGCTTCGGCTTCACACGGCTTCAAGCATGGCTTATTCTTTTAAGCGCTCCACTGCTAAGCTTGGACGAGACAGCAGTGGCGACGAAGGGTGTGGGAGCGGAGCCCTGAAACAAGCGGCCTGAAAGGCGCTTCTCCTCTTGGCGGAAGAAATTGTGGCCCATTGCCACAGCCTACCCACTCGTGTTCACTCTCTCGTTTCGTGTCTCTCCGTCTCCGGGAACATTGAGGTGCCCCAGCCAGTCGATTTTGCTGCTCCGGAATGATTGCTCCATCCCCTGCTCCCGAAAATTCACAGCTACAGCTTGTCATATAGCCCTGCAACGGGTTACCGACCCATCGTTCTCCCTGGTGTAAAAGGTTGACTGGGTGATCTGCGCTCGCAACTATGCAGCTTGCAAACCCACTTGCTCACGATTGTTTTGTCAGTTGCGGATCATAGAACCCGTCGCAATCCAAAAATATTTAGCTAAGATGGGGAAACTTGAGCCAAACATTGGGGTGGAGCTATCAGCCACTACCTCTACTCTCCAACACCCAACCTGCAAGAGCTCGAACTTTTGCACGACTCAACCTAGAATCAGGCAAAAGTGAAGTATGGCTATGAGACCATCTATGTCGGGCAGAGCCCAAGACATCATTGTGAGGCGAAACATGCCCGTTCACTTGCGTTGGGACGAACTCCAAACGCAAGAAAGATCCATAACACACCAAAATGGCGATTGGAATTCAGGTAAAGACATGTAAATCGTCTCATTCATTCATCCATAGCATTTAGGTCAAGGTCGTATTTGGGAGCGGCTTTTCCATTGACGGCCGCATCTGTGATTCGCAGCCTGGATCGTAGCGTTAAGGGATTTCCAGCGCACGGCCCTTTGGGTAAGTTGTGGAGATTCTTCTGGACCAGTTTTGAAGCAGCTGCCGGATGGGAGAGTGGCTTCAGGTCATGTCCTAGATATTCACAACAATCCCAACAAAACCTGATTGGAATACTCCCAACAGTTTTGAAATCGCGCCTTCATGTACTCTTTTTCGACCCAAAAACAGCCTTCGGTCATCCATGTAGTCGCCAACTCTTTGCGCAAAGGGCCACACTAATCTTCTTCGTGCTTGTTCTCACGCAGTCAGGACTAGGATTCCCAAACCTTACGAGTTCAGTACCGCAGCAACCAAACCTAGGAACTTGGGGCACACCACTACTTATGGTCAGTTCTGCTGAGTGCCCTGCGCCCCCGTCTGGACATCCCTACGAAAATTCTGTACCAACAAGCGATTGCTTCCACCCTCCAACGCTGTCACCCCGGAAGTACGCCTGCTAGAGGTCCTTTCAGCCGCCTCTATCCGGCGCAAAATCTCATCAACAGCGCCAGACAACAGATCCAAAGCCTCGTAACTTGCCTGATTTGCAATCGCCGCTGTCGGCGTTTCCAATCTCACCTTACCAGTTAGCTCACTAGGCTGGGCAGAGTTGATCACAGTTGGCTTTGCAATAATTGCCACTTCGCCTCCTCCACTTACGGTTTGCTCCTGTGCTCGGTTAATATCTCCCGTTCCGCTCAAGGCCTCCGGCCCGGCACCAGTTTCTACCGCACCACGCTCGCCGTGGCCAGCGGGGTCCTGTAGAAGCTTCCTTGCTTCCCCTTCAAAAAATACAATGCAGCTTCAGCAAACAAGTCCTGCCTCAAAATCTGACCCCAGCCGCAGAAGGCCTCGTCTGTTGAAGCCTGGCTTCGTCGCTGCCTCTTTGCGACCACCAAACGTTCGCATCAAAATCTGTCGCTCTTTGTCCCCGATCCAGACTTTCCAACTCAGCGGGTCCTGCTTGTTCGGATTCTGACCCCTGACCTCATCGACTTCCAGGACGAGAACCTAGCGGGGTCGCACAATCTGGGAGTCGAAAGTATCTGGTATGGGTCTTTAGGCTTCCTCCGTCAAACACTGTCTTTGACCCGCGTCACATAGGGCTGGGTATGGGTCCCATATAAGAACTCTACCCACTTCTTGACATTACATGAACATGGCGACGTAGCTGCAATCCTGATGGCAGGAGCCGCAGGCGGAATTGGGCAACTCAGACCGGGATCCTTTCCCTTTCCCTTTTGGATGGCGATGATGGCCTTTGCGTCCGGGACAACCGGCGCACACCTTTGTCATTCGTCTCCTTCTCTTTCTTCTCCTTTTTTTCCTTTCTCTCTCCTTCTTTCCTTGTCCCTCTTTTCCTTTTCTTTCTTTTCTTTTCTTCCTTTGCCTTATCCAGCTTTCCTTTCTCCTTCTTTTCTTTCTCTTTAGTTGCCTTTTCTTTCTCAGCTTTTGCTCCAGGTTTTGACGGGTTTGTAACTTCATTCCATGCCTTTTCTTTCTCTTGCATGTTCCTCTTTTCTGTATCGAGCTTGATTTGCTTGACAATGAAGCTCATCAACAACTCATAGGTCTTTCGAGTGTCTGAATCCGGCAGCTGATCATAGCGAGAAAGATCAAATTTCATAATGGTTGAGTCACGAATCCTCTTGTACAGGATGTCACGTAGAATCCTCCCGCGGGAATATCTTCCTCTCGCATACCCTCAAGAATAGCGTGCTACTGATGATAGAATTCGTGCACCTTCAAGTCACCAGGACATTTGAGATGGATCAGACGGTCAATGAGATACGTCACCTCCGCATTGTCGCGAGACCGGAAGTTCTCAAACACGATGGACGATGGCGGTAACTTCACGACCTGATATGATCTTGGAATGCTTGGCGCAAGGCCTTTGCAACTTCTCCTTGTCTATCCTGACTGTCTCTCTGGTGTCTCCTGCTGACTTCAACATGCTTGTAGTAGCCGAGCACTTCTTAATATCAAAGCGCCCTGTGTTCTTTGTTGACTTTGTTCACTTCTTCACGCTGAGGATTCGGACTCCAAGCAGGTGTCAACCCCACTTTACCCACTTCTGATGCTCTGAATCTCAAAAAGCCGTGACCAATGACATGGTCAGCTGCGACTTCCAGAGGTTCATCTGATGCATTCGGGTACACCGGAACCGCAACCTTTTCTGCTTTTTTCCGCGTGACTTGTCCTTCTGCTTCTTCTTCTTCTCTTTCTTCCTTTGTCACCTTCATCAAATGATGTGGAACTGTCACTAGAGTTAGACAAGGAGGAAGACGAAGACTATGATGATGGATCGGGATCACCGTCAGGGCCAGGCTTCCCACTTCCATTACCACTACTATTGCCCTCTGACACCTCCTCCGTACATTCTATCCGTCCCCATTGTCGCCACTGGAGCCCAACGCGTGTCCAATGCTGCCGGGTTGTACAACTCCGAATGATGATATCTGCAACAGTCCTATGATATCCTAGTACTGAGAGTTAGTGATAGTGTCAAACAATGGAGCTCCTGCTGAGGCTAAAGCCGAATTAGTTGCTGAGTTTGTGTGTCGCACTGAACCCCCACTCAGTAGCGCTTGTCTGTGATCCCCCCACTGTGAATTAGATGACGTAGCAACACCCTAGCTTTCCGGAAGTTTCGACTTTTCTTCTTGGTCTCGACTTCGCTTTTCTGAAGCGCCGGATTTAGTTGTTCCACAAATGACCGTTGATCGCCCAACTTGACAACCAATGACTGATTCTCATTCTCCACAACTCGCAATATTGACTTGAGCCAGGGTCTGTTGCGTCTGCTGGATACGTTACGTTCATCCCTACGTAGTAGTTCAGGATGTAGAGCATATGCATCCTTTCTCGCACCCATAATGTCAATCCAGCTCCTATCACGCTCGCTACGCAATTGTGTTAGTTCCTCAAGTAGTCCATGCTCACTCATCTGCAGGTTCTGATGCATGGCTGCATGTTCTTCCTTGATCTTTTGCTCGGCGTGGGCAACTGCCGCATCCTGGGCTGCGATTTGTTGTTCTATGGTAGCCAAATCCTGAGCCCAGCCAAGGTAGACCCTCCACTGTTCGCTCTCGGAGTACTTCTCGGAAGCTCTGACACCAGACACCGCATTCTGCAAATCACCCATGATCTGGCGCGTAGCCTGTTCGCGAAGGGCACCCAACCTGACACGCGTGTTCAATCTGTCCATGAGCTCCGAAGGAACCACCTCAGCATTCGTCACTGCACTCTTCAGGCTATTCACTGCTGACTCTTCATGGACAAGCCTTTGCTGAAGATCACGAAGTTCTCCTTCTGCAGCAATCAATGTATGATCATGTGTTCTACTTCTCTTCCTCAGCTTGAAGGTCAATGCGTCTCGCTCCTTGATACCTGCATTGGTGT